CAGAATGTTGGCTGCCTTGCTTAATAAAATCTTTAATTTAGAGCCTGCTGTTTTGATTGCTGCTATAAAACCTGTTGGGAAGCTTTAAAGTTGGCAGATTTGGGGTTGGAACTGGACTAGCTCCCAGATTTCTAGCCCTGATGTTCCCAAACTTCATCTGTTTAGTTAAGACTATGATGTGGCTGTACATAAGCAGCTGTCTAGCGTTTGGAAAGCTGCGCTCCTTGCCCCTTGCAACTTGCAACTTGCTCACAAAGTTTGCTCATTATTTGAGAAATTGCTAATTTAATGCAAATTGTTAAATGACTGCGTATGATGTTTAGACCTAGGTCACAAGGCAGAAGTAACCTTGTGCCAGGGCTGCATTGCTTCAAACTGAAGTGGGTTTCACATTAATGGGACAGACCTCTGTGCCCCTCCTCTTAAAATAAAGAACCTTTCTGCAGAGAAAACTAGGGAGTCAGTTAAGGATGGGTGAAGCTCAAATACAAGTTATTAGTAGCTCAAGCATTCAGATTTAAGCTGCAGGTAACGTCAGGAAAAGCAAGTTCCTGTGTTAGAGAGGATCAGCCTCAACTGTTTGACCAGAATGAAAATGGAGGTGGGGTCTAACTGTAATATCTACAGAAATGTCCTCCCCTGTAGAGATGAATTTCACACAATATCTCATCTAGAAACGAAAGCATTGCCCTGAAGAGATGGATGAGCCCTAGAGACTTGACAGAAGTGTCCACCTCCAGGGAGATCAATAACTTGCAGAATAGGGATCATCTGATTTAGGAAGGATATAAGTTGGCGTTAAGTAGACAAGAAGACCAACCCACAGCAATTGCATAGTGGGCAGAAGAGCCGTTAAAAGTTTGCCTTCTGCTTCCTTAAACATAACTGTATAGGCAAAGCAAGCCAAAAGGACATGTTTGTTCTGTTTAAACTGGCCTTAAAAAACCCCAGTCATTTCTTAACATACCGAAGAGGGTTTGGTCTTTTTGAAGGCCTGTCTATTTCTTCACTGAAGAAAATATACTGAACGTGCAGTGAAGGCAGGGAGATCACATCCTACCCCATATTGACATGCCAGTGCATGTATGTCACTAATGTTTCAATGGAGCATATGCACATTAACTCAATGTGCACCAACCTCCCATACTGCCCTTGTCCTGTCAGGATGATTGTGACTGTGGTTTCCCATCGACTTCTGGTTGGCCACTGTGAGAACAGGATGCTGGCCCAGATGAGTCTCTGGCCTGATCCAGCAGAGCTCTTCTTATGTTCTTATTTCCTTCTGCACTTGCTCTAGTCTGGCTATCCACTCAGTAGAGCTGACTCAGGAAACTGGTACCTTTGCCAAATTGACAGAAATTAGCATGCATATCTTAGGAAGCTTGGTCTTGGAGTGATGCCACTAGGTTTCTGGAAAGGAAGGAGAGAGCCAAGGCATCACAACTTAACCAAGAAAGGGAGTTTATTAATAGAAAAGCACAAGAAACTGCTGCTGAATTTTGTGATGCTTTTCTACAAATATTTGATTACATGGTGTTTTGTGACTGATAGTTATTTAAATGTGCTGGTTCTTTTAATGTGTTGATAGTTGATAGTCTTAGCTATGCACTTATATATTGTTGTATGCTTAGTTTATGCATTTGTGCTTGCTGCCTTGTGAGAAAGTTTCTGAAAGGCGGGATAGAAATGAATGAAAGTAATAAATAAATGAAATGCACACAGACCAGTTTATGAATGTAACAATAGACTTGTACATATGTTACACACTAAACAAGGGCACAGGCTGGCTCTGCACATGTACAAGTTTTGGGTGAAAGAGTGTACATTTGCTGATTTTTAAAGCTCAAATAGAGGTGCATGTAGAGGTGCACAGATGGTTCACTCATTAAATGGAATGTGTGAATACTCCTGAAAGTATTTGAAAGGCAAAAGAAGGGTTGGCGGAGGAGAAAGTAACAATCCAAAGCATAAAGGGGGAGGACTGAATCAGTAGATGAAACAAAGAAATTGGCAATGGATATAAATAGCAGAGGTTATTTACAGAAGACAATTCCCCATCTATTGCTCTTGCATTTCAATGATGGCCTTTTGTTACCTGGAAGCTCACTTGATGGGTGAGCTGGTTCTTGGCCAGGTGAGCACAAAGACAGTCTTAATTAACAAGTACAGGGTGCGGCCCTGAAAGCATTAAGGTGGGAGGGGGGGACATTGGCTTGGTATGTCTGGGAGTTCCATTGCTCTGGGCTTTCAGATGCAAGGCCACTCTCATTTCAAAACCTTTAGTGGGTTTTGTTCCTGACAGTTGGAAGACTTGAAGCAGGGACCTGCTGGTGAAGTTTCCTCACCAATAATTCTATACATATGTGTATGTTCCAGAAAGAACAAAAGATTGTGTCCTTTATGAATAAGAAGAAGAAGAAGAAGAAGAAGAAGAAGAAGAAGAAGAAGAAGAAGTTATTATTTATACCCTGCCCATCTGGCTGGGTTTCCCAGCCACTCTGGGTGGCTCCCAATCGAATATTAAAAACACAATACAGCATTAAACATTAAAACTTCCCTAAACAGGGCTGCCTTCAGATGTCTTTTAAAAGTAGGGTAGTTGCTTTTTTCCTTGACATCTGATGGGAAGGCGTTCCACAGGGCAGGCGCCACTACCGAGAAGGCCCTCTGCCTGGTTCCCTGTAACCTCACTTCTCACAGTGAGGGAACCGCCAGAAGGCCCTTGGCGCTGGACCTCAGTGTCCGGCCTGAACAATGGGAGTGGAGACGCTCCTTCAGGAATACAGGACCTTCAGGTATGAACCATGGCGTGAGGAAGTATTGCTGTTGTGTTAGGTAAATTTAAATCCAATAGATTAGCTTTAACTGACCCCTTGCAAACTCATTTGTAGAGTGAAAATTAAAGTTGTTTCCCATACTTGGCAATTGGTGGAGTCACTCTGCTAAATTCTCTTGCTGCTTTGGAAACAGCCACTGTTGTGGCTGTGGCATTGCTGGTTCTTTGACAGTAGACCAAGCCCCGTGTTCTCCTGAATAAGTCTTTGGGAAAGGCTTAGCTGTTGAAGTGTGCTGGAGTTGCTTCACTGGATGGAGGGGTGCCAACACTTTTTCCTCTAGTGCAAGGGTCTAATTGGTCCCACTGTGATGTTGCTGAGACCGCTGTGCCCAGAACACTGAGTTGCTGCCTCTGTGTGATGGCTCGTAGAATTGGATGCTGTTAGAGGCAGATGTGTCATTACCCAACAGGCATGTAACTTGAATTAACAACCCCCTTCCCCCAACTTTCTTTTGCTGTTGGGTAACAGTCTCCTGCATATTCATTATTTTGTTTTGATTGCCAGTCACAATCCTTTTCAAGGATTGCTGTATTTCAGCTGACAAAGTACTGAATCATTTTGGTTCATTGGTTTATGATTCATAACTGTTTTTGGATTGTTCTGATTATTAGTGTGTGTGGGAGAGTGTTCAATTTGGTTTTCTTTCATTAAATATATATATGCTCAGGTACTGTGGTTTAAGAATGATTTTAACAAAAAAGATGGTTTTGTGCACTTTGTTAAAACTGTAGCCTGCTCACATGCATCAGATACTCTGAAATGAACTTTGAGTTAACTGGGATTATTTTCTGTCTTCAGAAACACCTTGATGGAATAATTGTGACATTAGCTGCACCATAGTTGCCAAAATGGTGCCCACGAGCACAGTGGCATCCATAAGTTCTTCTCCTGGTGCCAACAAAGCTTCTGACACCCACACACAGCCTCACTGCCCACTTGGTCATGAGCTGGTGAGACAGGAGGATGTGCAAAGAGTGGCATATTTTCCCACTTCAGCTGTATGTGTGTCCCTTCTCTTTTTCTGTTTTCTTTTGGTTTGGGATGGAGCGATTTGCTGGAGGGGGAGAAGTGACAAGAAGGGTGGTTTCCATGGCATTTGCTCAGAAATCCAAATGTGTCCATGAGCTTTGAAAGATTGGTGACCCTTGATGCTATTAAAAAGAAGAAGTGGAAACCTAATGGGTCATCTAACACTATGGCTAGCAGCTTAACAAGAAGGTAATCATAATGTGGGTTTGTATGTGCTCTCATGTACATTTTGAAGCATGATTCCACATACCTGTAGAACTCAAGAGACAGAGTCTGAAGAGTTAGTTGAGTTTCTGAGCACTATGCTGCAACAGGTTCTGCTGGCAAGTGGTCCGTTTAAATTTCAATATGAATATGGTGACTTCTAGGGTGCTGGATGAGAAAAATTCTCTTTGGGTTTTGAATTCATAAAATGCCATAGAATGCATGCATTTTTTAAAAATGTGGGTGCTGCTTGGAAGGATGGTCTTTTGAAAGTTGATAAAAAAGGGGTGGCTTTCAGCTGATTTCCTAAATGGTGTAAGTATACTTGCTAGTATTGCTGACCCTCTGATTCTGCAAGTGAGAAGTGTTGGCTTGTTCATTGGCCGTTTACTGTCTTTAATAACATTTGTCTATGAAGTCTTATGACAAATCTGGCATCATAACTCTTCTCATCCCATTTTTAGCACATAAAGGACACATTTTGGCCCCTGTGGTTAGAAAGATGAGCCTAAGAAAACACAAAAAGCACCAGCGGATGTGAAACTAGTAAATGGATGGCACACTTTCATATTTCCCCTGCATCCATGGATATGCATATTTACTTATACTGGGGCTTACTGATGATCTGATTTGAGTTCACATTTGATGATGTCAATACAGTACAAAGTTTCTGGAAAAGCTACAGCATGTTCAGTAGCTGTTTGGGTGCACAATGTTTGGGTGCATAATGAAAACAACACGAGTTTCAGTTATATAAGAATAAAAAAGATACTTTAAGAAGTGTGCTTCCATTGTAAGTCAAATGTTCAAAGGGGCTACTTCCCCTGATGCAGATTCAGAGAACATGGCACTCCATACTTTTTAGTTCTAATGGCCCATTTCTCTCTCTCTCTCTCTCTGTGTATATATATATATATATATATATATATATATGTGTGTGTGTGTGTGTGTGTGTGTGTGTACACATACATACATATATATACACACACACACACACATCCTTAAGGGCTAAGTAGGGAGACAGGCTGAGAAGTATTTGCAATTTCAGAATTATTACAGATTCTAGGCACATAGATATGTGCATGTGTGTGCAACCCCACTCCCACCAGATTTCAGCAGCTTTGCTATGAAAGCCAATGTGATGCAGGGCTTGGACTAGGTCTGCAGAGATTGCTAAGCAAGGTCCTGTATGGTTTCAAATTGGATGGGGGACCATGTGTTGAGAGCCTTGCATTGCAGGGGGTTGGACTAGATGACTCTTGGGGGTCTCTTCGAACTATACAGTTCTGTGATTCTGAGTGACCTTTGGCCTGTCTTTCAGCCTAATTGACCTCACCTGGTGGGCTCAAATCAAACATGGATGACCATGTATGCTTTTCTGACCTTCTTGAACAAAGGGCGGAATATAAATGCAATAAATAATAAAATTAATTAATGGGGCAGACTATTCTAACTTGACAGAGTGGCAGATATTTTTTTTCCATCTGCCAGTGTTTTAAATACAGAAGCAGGGGAAAGAAATGTCAAAAGATGCAAGAAGCAGAAAGGTAAGGTAGGTCTATGCCCTTAAGTAACTTGAGGCAGGCATTGATTCACAGTTATTGATGAAGTGCAACTCACTAATGATGAAAGCACAGTTAATCTTGAGGAGCAGGGGTCATGAGTCAGCTGAGGCCTGGTGTTGAGTGTTATGTTCTGTGGAAAGTGCATGTTGCTGACACTTACCTTCAGTATACAGGTGAGCTAGCAACTGATTTATGTGGGAATCTTCCTATCTTCCCTATGTGTAAGCATACCACCTTTTGTGTTCATCTCTGCCTTGCAACTTCCTGCCTAATCAAATAGCCAAAGTAGGCAATGTGACTACCTTGGGCTGTACCTAACAACTGAGGTCACATTCACACCATACATTTAAGGCACCGTGGTACCATTTTAAAGAGTCATGTTTTCCTCCAAAGAATTCTGGGAGTTTAAGGGTGCTGAGAATTGTTAGGGGACCCCATTCCCTTCCAGGAGCCACAATTTGCAAGGCAGTGCCTCTTCCCTGGGAACTCTGGAATGGTAGCTCTGTGAGGGGAATAAGGGGTCTCCTGACAACTAACTACAGCTCCCAGAATTCTTTGGGGAAGCCATGACTATTTAAAGGGGAACCATGGGGCTTTAAATGGATGGTGTGATTGTGCTCCAAGTCTCTGCCCTCGGTTTGTTCTATGAGGAAATATCCTGCCAGGAAGAGAGATTTCTCGAGGAAACCATCAGCAGGTTGCGTTGGCCTACACTGGCAGGAGGGTAAGTTTAATGCTTTCTCTGCATACTGCAGTCTCAACAAGTCCTCTCTGGAGTTACTGCATTTTCAAGGGAAATTCCCTTTGGTGTCAATGGAGGCTTCCTTTGAAATGCTGATAGCAACTTCAGAGAGGAATATTTTGTTGGGGCTGTGGAAGGGAGACAAAGAGTTAACTCTCTCCATTTCCAAAGCTGCTCAGGCTTCCCCATGGCTGCTGCACAAATAATAAAAAATTGCACTCATGCAGTAGAAGCCCTCCAGCGATCTGGCAAGCCTCTGTGGTGCTATAGGACCTTTGTTTTCTTCAATGCTATCAACTACCGTAACTTTCCTCAAGACTATATGAGCTGATGATGGCTGTTAACACTAAGTTTTTATGTTGTGGAGGTTCATGATATTGGGACCTTAGACAAGGATAACCTTAAAAGACTTCCTTTTTATCACTATCTTCTACCATCGGTTAATCAGTGAAGAAATACCAGCAACAGCTTGGCTTATTCTGAAATGCCACTAGCCAACAATTTTTGACAGGGTTCTCACCAGTGCCATAACCTCTTGACAGACTGTAAATATTTGCTTAAAAATAGAGAATTCTGCTCTAAAAACACTTGGGAGCCCATTCATGATAGCATGTTATTTTGATAATGTGAAGAGTTTTAAGCTCATCTCCCACAAAGATTCTTGGGAGTTCATTTCCAGGGCCATGAACTGAGCTTGAAACACCTTTCCAGGGCTCTTTCAACAGAGGTGGGGAGCCTTTTTTCAGTCTTGAAGCTGCATTCCATTCTGGGCAATCTTCTGGCGGGAACCACATGCCAGTGGTGGGTGGGAACAGGGGCAAAAGCTGGTAAAGCAATGTTACCTCTGTGCTTTAGGCTAGTTTCCACTCTCATGTGCACACCTCTCTCTACCCCTCATCCAGGCAAGCAAAAAGTATTATCTGAGTTCAAGGATACATTCCAACCTGGCAGAAACCCTCAGGCCAGATTCACACCACACACTTGAAGCAATATGATGCTACTTGAAACAGAAATGCCTGGGAGCTGTAGCTGGCAAGTGTGCTGAGAGGAGAGCCCCTCTTAGAGATACAGATCTGAGAGTTCTCTGTGAAGGTGACTGTGGCGATCACACAGGGTCCCCGGACGTTTGACGGTCTATTGATCCCTGTGCCACCACTGTGATTGCGTCCCCGCTGCCACCAACCCATTTCTCTCGGGTACACACGGAGTCCAGACAGTTGTTAACATTAATCCAAATAAACAAGTTTGTTTTATAAGCATTAACAAGTTTATGGTTTCAGAAAATTTTTCTTGTTAGTTTCTTAATCTTAATTTCTTTACCGGCCTATACCTTCTTAATAACTTCTAACTGATTATCCCAACTGTCTATCTGACTCCTTTTAACAGATTCTCTCACTCTCTCACATAAAACTATCTCAACCCACAGACTTATCCTCCGTCTCTCTTCTCTAACACCCAACTGACTCCTTAACAACTCTAACTCAAACTCTAACTCCTCCCCTTGGGTTCCCACTTGCCAATCACTTCACACTCATTTAACCCTTCCCTTATGACCCAGCATGATGTCACCTAGGAGGCAAACACCACAGTGACATTGATTGTTAAAACACTCTGGAGCATGCAGACACCCAGCTTTAGGTATCTACTTTGGTTTTTTTTAGTAGGACCCAAAGATCCAGCAGCCAGAGCCTGGTTCAAAAGACAATAAGGATTACAGAATTATGAGCCCAGGAATTTTGTTTTGAGTACCATAACTGAACTGAACTCACAATCCTTCAACATACAGATCCACTCCTGGTTACCACAATCTTACTTCATTACATTAATATAATTTAGGGTGGGAGCTGCTGCAGTTATTAAACAATCTTTGCTGATCTATTGTCAATCATCCAGAGATCTACCAATAGCTCCTGTTTGGCTTTGTGTTGTCATGTGATAAAAAGCATTGTCTGTATGTCTCATGTTCTGTTACACTGAAATAATTACTAACTTCTCTGGTTGTGTTAGAACTTGGTCTTCACACTCAAGAGTGGGTGTACAGACAAATGCTGTGTGTTGCACTGGGACTCCCATCAGCTGCTATGATTACCAGGAGCAAGAGGGGAGAGGTGGTAGTGAAGTTGGTGCAGTGTGGGTGCAGTGGCAGTCTGGTGCTCCTGCTGCTTCCCCTAAATCACACTGGCCTCCTGACCACTCCTGGTAACCACAATGATGCAGCCGATCTGAGACTAGGTGCATTGCAGCATCCCCCTGCCATCTCCTGTCCCTGTCACCCCAGGTGGATCCATTGCAGAATACAGTACTCAGTGGATCAGATTTACGGTAACTTGGCTTGTGGCTGTTCTAACATCTAATCTTTCTTGAAAGGAAAAAATGCTTTAGCTTAAAACTTCCCCACCCCACCTCTCTACAGTTTAGTCAGCTCTTCTTGAGAAAATGTTTTGACTAGTCTTTTAGCAGAGAGGAATAAGTTTTGTGGTTCCTTGAGAAAACTTCTCTCTACATTCCACAGGAAATCTCTGCCATTCCTGGCTGGAAATATGTCAGTACAGGCCTTTGTGCTGAAGATTTGAATTCTGCTATGGCTGCTTGGAGCTTGATTATAGAGAGAATACACACCCACCCACCCACCCAAAAAACCTGTTTATCACACTCATTTTATTTTATAGATAACATTTTCTTTACGTTGCATGTCTTTGCAAATTTCTGGCGCTGCCTCCCCCCCTCTACTTTTGAATGGGGGGAGCAGCTTGCTGGAATGAGTTGAATAATGCTCCTGGCCCTGTAAGATTGGGTAGGAGAGGGGACCCAGAGGAGCAAGGTTTTTTTTTTAAAAAAAAAATGATAGCAAGTTGCAACATGATACCAATCTTTTAACTTCCTAGAGCTAAATGAGTGTAATCTGGCTTTAGTCTTGCAAACAGAGGCCTTGGGGTTTTCCTCATTGTCAAGTTGTAGGCTGAATTCACAGCTCTCTGTTTAGCATGATGTGCTTTACATACTGTTAGCAGAATATGAAGAGAAGATTCATCAAGTGTGAAGATGTTTTGTTTCAGGCAATGTGTCTTTAAAAGGCTGTTAATGTATACAAAGTGGCACTTTTATTCAACAACCAATTGAGCTGAATGAACAATCAAATCACTTTAAAAAGTCATCTTGCTGAGCACATGTACTTTTATCACTAAATAAACAATTAACAATGCAGTCCTACTCTGAAGTGAGTCCCACTGAGTTCAGGTGAGTGAAGGATTGCAACTTGAACTTTTTCAAATTTGCTTAAATTTATAATTTTTTAAAATAACATTTTATAGGGGAATAGGAACAAATAGATTAGTCTCATTGTGGTCACATGTAAGCATTTCCCCATTTGGAAAAAGAATAACATTTTATATTTAAAGTGGCAAAAAAGAGTTATAAGGAACACAGTACATTGATTTGTTTTATTCCAAGCAGTTACAAAAAAAAGCCCATCTTCCTGGGAGTCTAGCTTCTTCAAGATTGCTTACAGCTCTTGCTTGGTATGTCAACTTGAATAACAATGATGTTTCCCATATTTTCTTATCCATCCAGTTAGGGGAGGAGGATTTTGATTTGCTGTATGCAATGGCCTGCTATTGGTAGTTGTTTAAGCAACCTTGCTAGCAGGCTATTTGAGAGACCATCTCTCCCCTTAAGCCAGGGGCCAGCAAACAT